TGGTCAGGCTTGAGGCCGAGAAGGAGGTGCTTGAGCGGCGGATTGCGGCTGTAGATGAGCAGGCTACCGACACTGCGACAAGCGCAGCACGTGTGGCCGAGCTGGAAGCCGAGGTGACGGCCAAGGACGAGGCTGTGGTCAGGCTTGAGGCCGAGAAGGAGGTGCTTGAGCGGCGGATTGCGGCTGTAGATGAGCAGGCTACCGACACTGCGACAAGCGCAGCACGTGTGGCCGAGCTGGAAGCCGAGGTGACGGCCAAGGACGAGGCTGTGGTCAGGCTTGAGGCCGAGAAGGAGGTGCTTGAGCGGCGGATTGCGGCTGCAGATGAGCAGGCTGCTGACGCTGCGACCAGCGCAGCACGTGTGGCCGAGCTGGAAGCCGAGGTGACGGCCAAGGACGAGGCTGTGGTCAGGCTTGAGGCCGAGAAGGAGGTTCTCGAGAGGCGGATTGCGGCTGCAGATGAGCAGGCTACCAACACTGCGACCAGCGCAGCACGTGTGGCCGAGCTGGAAGCCGAGGTGACGGCCAAGGACGAGGCTGTGGTCAGGCTTGAGGCCGAGAAGGAGGTTCTCGAGCGGCGGATTGCGGCTGCAGATGAGCAGGCTGCCGACGCTGCGACCAGCGCAGCACGTGTGGCCGAGCTGGAAGCCGAGGTGACGGCCAAGGACGAGGCTGTGGTCAGGCTTGAGGCCGAGAAGGAGGTGCTCGAGCAAAATTTGGCAGGAGTCGAAGGGCAGCTGCAGGCTTGCAGCGTGACCAGCAAGCGGGCCGAGGCTGAGCGCCAGGTGCTCGTCAAACAGCTGGAGATAGCCGAGCGTGAGCTGGAGGATGCTGGGACACTGGATTGTGAACAGCTGAAAGCGCAGCTCAACAGCACGGAAGCACGTCTGGAGGAGGCCGCACAGACTGTGGCTCGTCTGGAGGTGGAGAACCAGGTCCTGAAGCGCCAGGCATCTGCCGCTGATGAGCTTGCCAGTCGCGTAGCTGTTCTGGAGCGTGAGCTGAAGGCGACGAAGAAGTTGTCATCCAAGTCAACCGAGAGTGCAACGGATGGGCTCACAGACAAGCTTGCTGCTGTTGAGCTCCAGCTCGCCAAGGCAGAGCGTGATCTTTCATCGCGCCCCACCCTGGACTATGTTGCTGAATTGGAGACTGAGCTGGCAGCCGCAAAGGTGGAGCTGGCGGATCGCCAAGCAGAGCCCGTAGCAGATACGGCCACAGAAGGTACAACACCTGTGGTGGATGATCATATTGCGGCGCAGTGTAGGATTAGTGATTTGGAAGCCGAGGTGGCGCGCTTGGGCGCAGAGGCACTTCTGGCTGCTGCTGCTGAGGCCGAAGCGCAAGGCGAGCTCCGCCATTTGCGCGACATGCTGGACACGCTTGAGACTGCTTCCCACCAAGGCACCAACTCACACCAAGTCGCAGAAGGTGTGTATCACGGGCATGCTGAGCTGGCAGAAGTTGCCTCTGCTACACGGATGGTTCTTCCTACAACTGCCGCGGCGGACACGATTGAGCCAGAGCTTGCACGTGTGCAGGCTCTTCTTGCAGAGCTTGGTGACGAAGTGCCAGTGGCAGAGACAATGGAGGCCTTTGTCTCTCTGGCAGGGCGGCTGGCTGACTCGATGTCGTCTTTGGCCGACGTTATGGGCGAGCGCGACACTGCTATGGGCGAGGTGGATCGTCTACGCCTGTTGCTTGACGCAAGCCGGAGCGAGGCTGCACTCTCTCAGGTTGGTAGTACCGATGCTGTTGGCACCACCAACTCTTCGGAGTCGTTTACTGGTGGTGAAACCGTGGTCGAAATGGAGCTTTCTGCCAGTCGTGCTGCGCATGCGCGCGCCGAAGCAACTGTTCGTCGGCTGCAGGCTGAGCTTGAGGAGGCACTCGCTGCTGTGGGTGCGTCGAGTGAGGACATGCTGAAGCGGATCCAGCGGCTCGCCCGCGATCGTGCTGAAGCAGCCAGCGAGGCCGATGCGCTGCGAAGCGTGGGAGAGGCGCTGCGGCGCAAGGTGGCTGCTAACGAGATGCAGCGACAGGCAATTCTTGTCGAACTTGCAGCAGCACAGACAGCGCTGCTGGATGCCCGTGGAGCCATTGCCGAGAGGACGGTCGACTTGAGGCTGCGAATGGAGATCTTTGGCGCGCGCGCGCAGAGTGCGAGGGTGCAGCTGCAGAGATTGAGACGTTGCGGTCAGAGCTTGCGCGAGCGGGGGCTGCGCTCAAGGTCTCACAAGTTGGCCTGGTTGCGGTCGAAGATGAGCGTGATGAGCTGGTTGCACGATGTGCCGCGGCTGCTGCTGAGCGTAAGATTCTGCTGGAACGGGCTGAGAGTGCTGAGCTCGCCTGCGACGAGCTCGAGGCGAGATGCCAGGAGTTGGAGCGGGATCACGACGATCTGGAAAGCAAGGTGGATGAGCTTGAAGTCGATCGCGACGAGCTTCTTGCCGGTCAGGCGGAGCTTTCGTCGAAGATTGAGGCGATTGAGATGGAGCGTGATGTCGATTCTGCCAGTTTGACACAAGCTCTGGTGGACGCCCGAGCCGACGTGGCGCGCCTCGAGAGTGTCGCTGCAGAGAGCGAAGAGAAACTGCGGCAGTGCGAGGATGAGCTGACGTCAGTTCGCGAGCAGCTTGATACCGAAGCCGACGGACTGCGTGAGCAGCTCGAAGCTGCCACTACCGAGCGCGACCTTGCTCGTGCTGATGCCGATGGGCTGCGTACCGAACTCGATACTCTCCGCGAACAGCTCGATGTACTTCGCGAGCAGCTCGATGCTGCCGCCACCGAGCGCGATGCTGCCCGTGCTGATGCCGACGGATTGCGTGATCTGCTCGAGTCTGCTACCACCGAGCGCGACCTTGCTCGTGCTGATGCCGATGGGCTGCGTACCGAACTCGATACTCTCCGCGAACAGCTCGATGTACTTCGCGAGCAGCTCGATGCTGCCGCCACCGAGCGCGATGCTGCCCGTGCTGATGCCGACGGATTGCGTGATCTGCTCGAGTCTGCTACCACCGAGCGCGACCTTGCTCGTGCTGATGCCGATGGGCTGCGTACCGAACTCGATGCTCTCCGCGAACAGCTCGGTGCTGACACTGACGGACTGCGTGAGCAGCTCGAAGCTGCCACTACCGAGCGCGACCTTGCTCGTGCTGATGCCGATGGGCTGCGTACCGAACTCGATGCTCTCCGCGAGCAGATCGGTGCTGACACTGACGGACTGCGCGAGCAGCTCGAAGCTGCTGTCACCGAGCGCGATGCTGCTTGTGCTGATGCCGATGGGCTGCGTACCGAACTTGATGCTCTCCGCGAGCAGATCGGTGCTGACACTGACGGACTGCGCGAGCAGCTCGAAGCTGCTGTCACCGAGCGCGATGCTGCTTGTGCTGATGCCGATGGGCTGAGGACTGAGATTGATGCACTTCGCGAGCAGCTTCAAGCTGCCACTACCGAGCGCGACCTTGCTCGTGCTGATGCCGATGGGCTGCGTACTGAACTCGATACT